TTTCATCACTAAATCGTTGAACAGCTCTGTTAAGTCTGTTCGGTGTGTTTTTCTCGACTACTCTTCTGCACTTGATTCCATTCCTCGATCTAAGTTGTTACAAAAACTGGAATCGTTTGAATGCCCCACGCAGTTGTTAGCTTGGCTATCAACCTATTTAACCGATAGGGTACAAACCACTAGATTGGGGAAGGCCATATCGAAACCCTTAGTCAACAACTCCGGGGTCCTTCAAGGAGCTGTGCTATCCCCATACTTATTTTCCACTTATATTTGTGATATTCCCTGTGTTTCTCCCGCACGANGTATTGTGCCAACCCATTTCTTCTTACTTTGATCTCAGCTCTTTTACCGATAACCTTGATAAAATTCAGTCATTTTCCTCCTCATCGGGGCTAACCCTGAACCCCAGTAAATGTGTTGAGTGTTTATATAGTTTTGCTCGCTCTCCGTATCCGACAGACCCCACAGTGATTAATAACAGTCCTGTATCCCGGGTGAACTCTGTCAAATATCTTGGTGTAACCATAGATAGCAATCTTCATTGGTCAACCCACATTCAAAACTGCATTGGTAAGCTGCGACACCTTTCATTTCAAATACGAAAGGTCAGGCAGTTTCGCGCATCCCGGTCAGGTATTTATACTTTTGTTTATCAATGTGTTTTCCCCATCTTACTCTACTGTTCCCCGGTTATTTTTTCCGGTTTACTCAAACAGGACTTCAAAGTCTTACGTCGCGGTCTAACCATTATTAGTCGTGTCTATTCTATTCCTGTGAATGAATTAGCTGTAAAGCTTCCAGGGTATCACGTAACTTCCTGTGTGAAGTTTGCTGTGAGGATTCTCACAGATCCTGACCACCCATTGCATGCAGAACTGACACTTTGTCGTTCCCATCATTCAACACGCTCCCGATTCCGCCAAATTTCATCTCGAATTAATGCATACCGCAATTCACCCACACCGTATCTTACTCGTCTACTCATAAACAAAGAGCGGACAACGAGTGAACTTTGTCTTAACCTTGGATTATGAAATGTCCCCATGCCTGTAAAAGCTTTTCTCCCCGTTGATTACGTACATTGTGACGGTTAGCGTGTATAATTTTTTAGAACTGAAATGTGAGCTCTAGTGCTTGCAAAAGTTACACAATACGCAATACAATAAACACAAAAAGCGTGTTTAAAGCGAACGAAATGTTTTGTTAATCTGCGACTTTTCTATAACCTTCACATATTCCTTTCATTGAAAGGGCCTGCGTCTACGACTGTCTGTTTTCGACGACCGTGTATTTTCTCGTATCACTGCCCTCGGAGCATCGCATCGGTAACCTCGAGATCAGGTGATGTCGTCCGTTAAGGAAGACTTTCATTGCACCTTCAAGGCACCATCTACGAATGCATGGACAGCATTGACCATATCGTTCCTTGACTCGATGCTTGTTCCCAAGCAGGTGATGTACATATTCCTTGGTGATTGCGATCGTTGTTGTCTTTCTTCCTCGACAAAGTGGAACTAAAAGTAGATTTCACAACAGATTAAGCAACCGTGGCATGTTTTGTGGCAAGCCCAAAGGGTTTCAGTCGCCGATGGAATTCAAACTCACTTTCCGATCGACTGCTGCTCGAACAGGCTCCACAAAAGAACCGTATTTTTTCGCTCAACAAGTGAATCAGATGTAAACAGGCATAGATCAGTTAGTCATTCCCCTTCTTGCTCCGGCTACACTAACAAAACCTTTAAAAACCTCAGTGTGATCAGAGTTCAGTGTTTTGGGTGATGATTGAACACGTTCCGCATGCGTTTCATAAATTGCTCCTATACGACCGTATCTTACAGTTTCTGGAGGTGGTCACAGACTTGATTGGGCTTTTTAGTTTTCTGGTCCCTTCCAATACAAAATGGAGTGTGGTCCGATAAACTGGACATCGATCACTTTGTTTTGTGGATTTTCATTTAAATGACCCAAGGTCCAGCCCCTTTTACCATCTGAGTAACGGAATTACATACCTGCATAACATTCGTGCACCCTGTATATTTTTTACAATAAGTAGTGTATATCTGTTTATGAGTTGGTAGGATGTCGGTGGGGTCTCTTAGGTCAGCCGGTGTAGTTTGCATTTCATCAATATCCGGGGCTATAACCGGGTTGGTGAACCCCTGGCAATTCAACTTGGGGAGTTGGCTAAACACCCTGATTCCAAACCGACCAAGAAGAAGCGTACGAATCACAAACACAACTTCCTGTTCGTGGCAGTGGTCACCGGCTCGATTGGGTACCGAGGTGTATTAGGCACTTTCGACGTTTGATCCCGTCCAAAGGGTGTATGATCCGATCAACGACACCGGCTCCCAGTGGACTGCGGACTCTGAACTCCGTCCTGTTGTGTTGCAGGTCTGACTTTCTAGCCAAAGGCTTTGGATGGGACCTCGAGGTTATCCCCCTTCCTCGATCAGGGCAATCGGGGATTAACCTGTCCACGCAAACTACGGACACACTACAGAATGTTTTGTTCATATGTTGTGGTACATTTGCCGGTTCTGTGTGATTGGTTACATGTCGAATAAATATATCACAAACACTTGAGCGGTCCTCATGCATAAGTTCAAATCTCATATAGGTTACTGATCCTTTCCCAATACAACCACTTGTTTTTTCGAGTTAGGGTTTCTTTTTTATACCTAATTGACCGGATCGTCCTATCTGATCATACGCTTACCTTGCAGACTGATGAACTCGAGTAAAATGCAAGATCAGTCACAATCTTGCCCGAGTTGTCGGGCCAATAAATACAACAACCCACAGTTGAAACTCATGGTGAACACATGTGGTCACTCATTGTACGGTTCGCCCTCTTTTCCTGTTTCGCCTAACCCGTTCAAGGTGTGAAAATTGTGTCGAAGTTTTGTTCGCTCGCGGTTCCGGCCTGTGTGTGCAATGCAAAACACCAATCAGAAAAGCTAACTTTCGCTATCAGTTGTTCGAAGATCCCCTGGTCCAGAAAGAGGTCGAATTGCGTAAAAAAATTCTTAGCGAGTAGGTTTTTATGCTTCACAAGTCCCCACATTGTGACCGCACCATCATCCATAATTGTTCAGTTTTAACAAGCGTGAAGATGATTTCGACTCACTCGAGGAGTACGATGCGTACTTGGAAAAAATCGAGGAAATCAGTGAGTTTGTTCCCAAGACTCAGTAATGATGTGTTAGTTTTTAATTTGATGAACGATATCGATGTTGACGAAACGAAAAAATATGTCGAACAATACAAGAAAGAGAACAAGGATATTATCAAGCGCAATCGTCTTAGACCGGTATGTTTTGGTATGAATACTTATTTTGTTAAAAATTTATTTATCGTAGTATACAATTTACAATTTACAAGTATTTGTTTTCTAACAATACCTACTTATTTTTCTGCCCTGGGGTTTGGAACTCACCGTGAGTTCTGATGTTCGAAGATCTCTGCAGCTGAACCGGATGAGCTCCGAGGCGATAATCTCGTAAGCTCTATTTATACCCTACTGCGCAACATTTGAACGCAAGAACACATTCCTTCATCTTGGGGCAAATCACTGATCGTTCCCATTTTCAAGAAAAAATGTCGCAATGACTGTAGAAACCACCGCGGGAGCAGTTTGATCCCGATCGTCACCAAAGTGCCAGCTTCGGTTATACTTCGACGTCTGACGCCTTTCAGAGAGACCAACATCCGTGAACAGCAAGCCGGATTCCGGCCTGGTCGTGGATGTATTGATCAAATTTTTACGTTGCGTCAGATCCTTGAGCTGCGTCATGCCCACCGTCGGCCAACAATCGCAATGTTCCTTGACCTGAAAGGAGCCTTCGACTCAGTTGACCGCGATGCTCTGATGGGCTACTTTCTCCGAAAAGGAATGCCCCAGAAGTACTTTAACCTACTGAGGTCACTGTATTCACATACCTCCAGCCGTGAAAGGGTGTACAACAATCTAAGTAGGCCGTTCGTTACCAGCAGCGGCGTCCGTCAAGGATGCCCTCTTTCGCCGTACTGGAGAACGCACTAAAGTGAACTCCAAAACGTAGGTATTGAATGGGTAGCTGGAGGATAGCTATGCAATTTAGAGTACGCCGATGACATCGTCTGTCTGTTCGAATGTATAGAGGACACGCAAAGCGCACTTGGTAAATTAACAAGTGCAGTAGTCACATTCGGCATGTGCTTTACACCTTCAAAGTGCAAAGTGATACTGCTGGGCTGGGTTTCGTCTACTCCCGCTCTGAAACTGAATGACCAGGAATTAGTTACGGTGGATTACTTATCCTACTTGGGTAGTTGCCTGACCAATGACGGTAACGCAGAGAAAGAGAACCGCCCGCATTTCCAAGGCTTGAGCAGCATAAACAGAACTGAAGCACCTTTGGCGTAGACGTGACATCTCACTGAAGTTGAAAGGTCGTGTATATTGTGCTAGCGTTCGTTCANTTTATGTCTGTGAGATCCTAAATTTATTAGTAGAAGATATCAGTCGACTGGCAGTTTTCGATTATCGGTGTTTACGTAGTTTAGCCCACATTGGGTGGAGCGAACGGGTTAGTAATATGGAGGTAAGCCGTCGTGTTTGGGAGTCTATCAGGTATAAACCTGCTAGCACATCGAATTCAAATTAGTAGACTTCGCTGGCTAGGGCACGTATTGCCTATGCCCAGCCATCGTCTGCCGCACCGCACTTTATTCGCTGTAGCTAATCCGGGCTGGAGAAAACCGCGTGGTGGTCAACAGATGACGTGGAGACGAGGCATGAAGAAATGCACAAAGCCATTAGGTAGAGTAAGTGTCTCTCGCCTTCCAGGTCGGGGTCCGAAAGACTCCACAACCGGTTGGTTAGAAACATTGAAGGATATGGTATCGAGCCGACGGCAATGGTGTTCTTGTCATTTCTTATCAGACCAGAACGCTTGAAACGGTATGTATGCAGAGTTCTGTTGTGCATTCTGTGTGTTGACCATAGTGGTTCATCTTCTTCTCCCTCCCTCAAAACAGGTACAATCCCTGTTCACCTTAAATTTTACTACTAATCTTGTATGCATTGCGAGTTTGGAAGCGATCAGTGAAGTTTGCCTCACTGTATTTGGCTGTAGGAGGATGATGATGCCTGTGTGAATCTCGCTGTCTTACGGTTTGATGATTCTCACGACGTTGTTTAATAAGAATGCATTGAAAGTTTTGTCTGAACGTGTCTGCGATGCAGTTTTATATTTTTTAAAGGTCAAAATATTCCTGAATAGGTTTTGCGTTCTCAACTTAGCAGCAGTGCACAATACGTTTGCACCCTGGATCAGATACTCGAACCTCGCACAACAGTTGGTGACATCAAAACCATCCACATGGGCTCACGTATTTTACACGTTCCTGCAAAGATATATAAAAGAGGTATCCCGGGATCATTGTTAACCATACCACACACATCCACATAAAATGTCCTCAACTTCAGTTCGTACCGGTGTTCGGGAGACAGTGATATACTATTGACCAAGAGTGCATCACCTTCGTACCCACGTTTAATCGTTATGTTTGTATTCAAGCGTGATCGACCATGATATAAGTCTCACATGTAATCCTGTCATGTGAAGTGTAACAACGGGAATGGGAGTTATTGAAAACAAATGTTCGCCTGAAATTTTGTTCTAAATGCCAGTATGGGCATGCTTCGAAGTTTGATATAAATCACTTGACCTTTTTGACAAATTTATCACTGAAAATGCAAAGTCAACACTAACAGTGGAAAGCACACTATTGGTAGGTTTGTTGTAAATAATGATCCGCTCAAATTGTTGTATGAGATTCGAGAATGATATGAGTTGAATGTATGACCGTCGTATAAATGAACCGTGAGCTGATCAATCAATTGTTCCGATCTGGGTGGATCAGGTTGGATCCGAGCTCACGCTTCATTTTCGCCTCGTGTTCGCTATTCAACTCCTCCCTTGCTCTCCTAAAACAAATAATAATCAGGCTGCGAAGGTTTTTAACAGAGTTATAACGCTGGAGGCCGGTCCTGAGAAGCTTGATGTGTGTAATGTCCACAATGAGCTCGCAAAGTTGGGTTCCAACATGTAGTGTTCATTCAAAATGAGAGACGGTCAGATCGGCTACATGGGTTAGGGAGTCGAGTGTGTGATGTGCTTGTATTCGACCTTTGATGAACTCTTGGGTTTGATCTCCTAGTTCCGTAGATAGATTCACAATGTTGCTCAGATCCAGTCAGGCCGAAACAGTTGTCCAGTGCTTCCCAGCTTTTCAGCTCACGCCTCATTCACATGTGACCAGTTCATCAATTTGAACATTTCACGTAAATTGAGGTTAAAACGCTGTCAAATAAATTGCGAGTGTTGCTTCAACTTGGTTAGGGGAATTTTGTTGAATGATAATCCTGTGAAAAAGATGCTCAATTGCGTGTTTTAAGTTTGCCCACATCAGTAGTATTGTCAGCAGCGGTCACACCATGTTACGGTCGACAAAAATTGGCACAACAAGCTCTGGGACGGAAGCATAAAATCTGTAATGTGGTCATAATCTGAGGAACAATGTAGTCGTCTGGGGTGTGGTCGGACAGCCCTAATTAGGCCCAAACTCCATTTCAGTTTGAATGGAATGCCAATCCCCGCTGTAGAAAAGTATGAGAAATTCGGATAACACGAAAACAATCACCTCCCGCCCCCGCCAAAAAAACCCAGTTTAAGCAACTTCAGTACCAGCGGAGTGGTAACTAAATTTCTGATAGAATACACCCGGAAACGGACGCATTACCATACTTCTTCTGCTTGAGATCATGTGTGTGCGTGTGCGTGCATACTGTACTTGCAGCTGTTCGTCCATGGGGAAGTTTTGGACTTTAATAATGTAACCAAATTGATGCCCCGTGGGTTTTTTTTCCCTTTTTCCATATCACTCCTCACACAAAGTCAATCCAGTAAATAAGATTTTCACTTGTGCTGTGTGATAATTCTTGTTTTTGTTCGGGTTAAAAATTGCCCAATCTCATCGATCGCCGCCATGTGTTGCTGTTTTGTCCAACCCTATCTGTTTAGTCAGCTTCGATGGCTTTTTATGATGCTGAACTGGAACGAGAGGCTTTGCGACAGGAACAACGAGAACGGGAAGAACAAGCACGCAGAGAGAACCTGAATCGGCCGCCAAATTCCGCTCTAGTGAACAATAATGATAGTCAAGTGCCAG